ACACACACACACACACACACACACACACACACACACACACACACACACACACACACACACACACACACACACACACACACACACGATCAAACAGCACAACTATGTATTTATACCAAATGAATTTAATTAGGTATCAATAACTACTGGTGTGGCGATTCTTTAAAACGTTGACTTTAACTTTGTGTAATAGAAGTTTCCTTTTGGTGCCTTCACCTTCCTACTTCTGCTTCAGTAAGATCCTGAATGAATTACTTGTTCTACATTACTGTGTACATACTTTTTACATAAGTACAATATTTTATCGATAGACTTATTATTCAATAAAAGAATACAAAAACAGGGAAACAGCTAGCCCCCTCTGTCAAAATGAAGATTTCGTTCTGGTTTTGAATGATTTTCTTGTCAACAAATAGATAATGTGTATATGTACACTGATTCAAAATCAAAACAGGATGAGGAGATCGGATAAAAAAACTATTTCTGGATCCTTATACATTGTAATATACAAGTAAGTAAAATATGTTTACACTGAAAAGATGTTTACACTCAATTTCAGCAGAAGTAAATATTGAGAGGTGAGGTGACGTGTGCAGGAAATCTGTTTTCAATGCATGACCCGGAGATAGCGTCACATCTGGACACTGAGAGAGTTATGGGGTGTGTGTTAGCGTCTGTAGACTGAGAGATACGAGGTGTGTGTCGGTGTGTGTGTTGGTTTCTGTTGGTGTCTGTTGGTGTCTGTAAACTGAGAGATACGAGGTGTCTGTTGGTGTCTGTTGGTGTCTGTAAGCCTGAGAGATACGAGGTGTGTGTTGGTGTGTGTTGGCGTCTGTAGACTGAGAGATACGAGGTGTGTGTTGGTGTGTGTTGGCGCCTGTAGACTGAGAGATACGAGGTGTGTGTTGGTGTGTGTTGGCGTCTGTAGACTGAGAGATACGAGGTGTGTGTTGGTGTCTGTAGACTGAGAGATACGAGGTGTGCGTTGGTTTCTGTTGGTGTCTGTTGGTGTCTGTAAACTGAGAGATACGAGGTGTGTGTTGGTGTCTGTAAACTGAGAGATACGAGGTGTGCGTTGGTGTCTGTAGACTGAGAGATACGAGGTGTGTGTTGGTTTCTGTTGGTGTCTGTTGGTGTCTGTTGGTGTCTGTAAACTGAGAGATACGAGGTGTGCGTTGGCGTCTGTAGACTGAGAGATACGAGGTGTGTGTCGGTGTGTGTGTCGGTTTCTGTTGGTGTCTGTTGGTGTCTGTAAACTGAGAGATACGAGGTGTGTGTCGGTGTGTGTTGGTTTCTGTTGGTGTCTGTTGGCGTCTGTAAACTGAGAGATACGAGGTGTGTGTTGGTGTCTGTAGACTGAGAGATACGAGGTGTGTGTTGGTTTCTGTTGGTGTCTGTTGGTGTCTGTTGGTGTCTGTAAACTGAGAGATACGAGGTGTGTGTTGGTGTGTGTTGGCGTCTGTAGACTGAGAGATACGAGGTGTGCGTTGGTGTCTGTAAACTGAGAGATACGAGGTGTGTGTTGGTGTCTGTAAACTGAGAGATACGAGGTGTGTGTTGGCGTCTGTAAACTGAGAGATACGAGGTGTGTGTTGGTGTCTGTAAACTGAGAGATACGAGGTGTGTGTTGGTTTCTGTTGGTGTCTATAAACTGAGAGATACGAGGTGTGTGTTGGTTTCTGTTGGTGTCTGTTGGTGTCTGTAGACTGAGAGATACGAGGTGTGCGTTGGCGTCTGTAAACTGAGAGATACGAGGTGTGTGTTGGTTTCTGTTGGTGTCTGTTGGTGTCTATAAACTGAGAGATACGAGGTGTCTGTTGGTGTCTGCAAACTGAGAGATACGAGGTGTGTGTTGGTGTCTGCAAACTGAGAGATACGAGGTGTGTGTTGGTTTCTGTTGGTGTCTGTTGGTGTCTATAAACTGAGAGATACGAGGTGTCTGTTGGTGTCTGCAAACTGAGAGATACGAGGTGTGTGTTGGTGTCTGTAAACTGAGAGATACGAGGTGTGTTGGCGTCTGCAAACTGAGGGATATGAGGTGTGTGTTGGTGTCTGCAAACTGAGGGATATGAGGTGTGTGTTGGTGTCTGCAAACTGAGAGATACGAGGTGTGTGTTGGTGTCTGCAAACTGAGAGATACGAGGTGTGTGTTGGTGTCTGCAAACTGAGAGATACGAGGTGTGTGTTGGTGTCTGTAGACTGAGAGATACGAGGTGTGTGTTGGTGTCTGCAAACTGAGAGATACGAGGTGTGTGTTGGTGTCTGTAGACTGAGAGATACGAGGTGTGTGTTGGTGTCTGTAGACTGAGAGATACGAGGTGTGTGTTGGTGTCTGTAGACTGAGAGATACGAGGTGTGTGTTGGCGTCTGCAAACTGAGAGATACGAGGTGTGTGTTGGTGTCTGTAGACTGAAAGATACGAGGTGTGTGTTGGCGTCTGTAAACTGAGGGATATGAGGTGTGTGTTGGTGTGTGTTAGTCTGTAAACAAGTGTGTTTCTCACCTGTGTGTCCTGGGGCAGGTGCAGCACGGTGTGCAGCCTCTCGTTGTGGTGGTGTCTCGACTCCTCCTCGTACGCCAGGTCTCTCTCGTTCTGGTGCATCGCCAGGAACCTCCGGATGGTGCACAGGTTCTCCCACAGCGTGCGGTTCTCCGGGCTCGGGTTCTCCTTCCAGCGCAGCAGCTCACACAGCCAGCCCTGGAGAGAGAAGGTGGGGTTAGACCAAGGCTTCTATGTTGTGGGAAACGTGTTTTTTTGCGCGATTGGTTGCATTTTCACTGCAGGCTATCAGACAGGTTTGTATATAAATAGATCAGGACAAAAAGAGAGCGAATCTTTTTTCCTGAAACTTTCAGAATCTCTTTACACAGAGGGGACACATGTTTATGTAGAAAAGGTGTGAAAAAGTGGAGTTTGCATAATAGGTGACCTTTAAATGGGAAACAACAGACAGAAAGTTTTGGGCGATTATCATCAAACAGAGTGGGGAAAGTTTGATGGAGTGTGTGTGGTGAATGTAGGAGAGGAAGCTGGGGGAAGGAGAGCTGGAGAAGATTTGATTATATCTGCTAGACTGCTTCAGTTTGCCACCAGCTGTTGTGTTCAACCAGCCACTGATCGCTGATCGTCTCCTCTCCGTCCTCTGGCCAGCTGCAGCAGATGGGAGCACTGAGCCGTGACCCCCCCCCCCCCCCCAGACCCAACAACCTGGGGGACCACGCTAACTGCTCTCACACACACACACAAACACACACAGAGATGCATGCATGTAGTGTATACATGATGCATACATCTCTACATGGTACTACCTTTACCTCATCACGCTTACATCGTTTAACTCGCATCTCAAAGCACTGCATCCAGAAATGCTCTCTTTATATTTAAATATATAAAACATATATACGTTATGTTTGTTCTTCTACATTTGCTGTCTATTGGAGTCCTTGGTTCTTCTCACAGCCAGTCTTTCTTTGGGCCTAATGAAGGACACACGTTTCATGCATACTTGCACAGAAACACCAAAGCATACTCCTTGTATTTGAACACCTACTTGGTAAGTCTTGCACTAATGCACATTTCTCAAAGATATTGAAGTGACAGTTATTTTGTATTGATTGATTGTTGTGCTTTTATTTACGTCTTAAAGGTAGGGTAGGTAAGTTTGAGAAACCGGCTCGAGATACACTTTTTGTTATATTCCATGGAATGTTCTTAACATCCCGATAGCAATGAATATCTGAAGTGCTTTGACAAAAAATCCATAAAACATGTCATCTGTGGAAGCCGTAGTACTGTAAAAAGTACGACCAATCATCTGAGCCGGCCCGGCTAAAATAACTGGACGGCCTACCTGCCTGTCAGCCTTCCATCTGTGCACAAATTTATCTCGTGCCCTCATTGGTCATGTGCGCGTTCGTGTGTGTTGGAGGAGGGGCTCTGTAAGGAAGTGGCAGATTTTCTCCGGTTGTGTATTTTCAAATTCTAGCGATCTCGAGCCGGTTTCTCAAACTTACCTACCCCACCTTTAATGTGTGCATATGTATACATTTGTCTTTTGATTGTGTATATGTAGGTATATACATATTTGCATACATATTTTTATATATATTAGTTTTTGTATTCGGGATTGTGGGAAACGGTATTTGGATCTCTCTGTCTGTACACACTGAACCTGATTCTGAGTACGTGTGTGTCCTCTCCCCAGTGTTCCCCTCACCTGGCTCTTGTTGGCGGCCACCTTAGCGAACAGAGCTTGGGAGACCTTGGCTCTCTTCATCTCCTGCTGGATCTCGTCGTAGATTAGTGACGTGATGCTGACCAGAGACTCCAGCTTCAGAGGGAGATCAGGGGCCGGGCCCGGGCCGGGGGGCTTGGGCTGTGGGAGAAGATCAACATTACTCTGTTATACACAGTGAGTACAAATTAAAGATCCTGACGGGTAAATGTTAAAGGAGGATATACTTTGAGGTTTGAATGGCAGGAAATATCATAAAAACTGGTTTATATATTATACAAAACCAAAACTTCTTAAGTATGTAGCACTTATTTGACTCAGTGAGTACAAATTAAATATCCTGATGTCTAAGAGGAGACGCGATAAGATAAGTTTTGCTGACGAAAAATCATGACTTGTTTGTATATATGCTAAATATTAAACCCTAACCCTAGCCCTAATTTCTGTATGTAGCACTTAAAATGTTTGGTTATTTAAAAACTAATATACGTACAGGATTCTTGATGTTTTGAGTGTTAGTTGCTTTGAATAAAAGCACAAAATGAAATGAAGTAATGTCATTTTAAATTATTAAAAAGGGTGCCTCTGGAATGGATCCTTAAAAAGTCTTAAAATGCATTGAATAATAATGTTAAAAAAAGGCCTTAATTGTTATTAAAATGTCTTAAATCAATCGTTTGAAAGTCTACAAAAATTATAAGAAATCGGAATAAGAATATGCTTTGTTAGCAAAATAATTGATTAAATATATATATCTTTTTAACGTTACTGAATGACTCTTACAGTATCGTCATGCAGATCCCAACAGCGTAAACAAATCTGCATTAAATTTCCTCCGAGAGGCCGAATAAAGTCTTAAATCCAGCTCGTACGAAGCTGCAGAAACCCTGTAAAGTATTTTCTAAAAAGTGAATCACGTGTAAACAAGAGGAGATATCATCAGCTGAAGATCGGCTCTCTCTGCAGAGTTTCCTGAACATCAGCCGCACATCTGCAGCGCACGTCTCCACATGAATTTTGTTTACAGATCAAAGTCATTAAGTCGTCCTCTTTTGTCTTTCTTTGTTGTTTCTGTTTGAATGAGCATGTATTGGCTCTCCGAGAGCTTGTATACACAGCGTTTGAAGTCGTCCACGAGACATGCACAGACCAGCCAGCTCACATTCCCTCAGTGTAAACCCAGCGCAGATTATTTTACATAGACATAATAAGAATAGCACACACATTCAGCCACAGCCATGAATCAGAGGGGACTCCTTATCACTGATGTTGCTGAACTGTTATGTGCACATGGAAAGAAATGCTGCATAATGTCCTTCGTGTTTACAATATGCTCTGATGGCTTTGAAGCCCTTTCTCCATTATAAGTGGAATTTGTTTAAGGTTTTTGGACGTGACGCGCTGCAGCCTGCTCTGATCTCTGAGAGATGGAAGATAACTCACCGAGCTGGAGATCTTAGTCTTGTTCTTCCAGATGGAGGCCCAGGTATCAGGAGTGAGCTGGTCCTCCAGGCCCCTCTCCCACACCTTCTGTGCAGCACACACACCCAAAACACACATGTATGCAAGTTACAGTCACTTGTTTACGTCACTGATGATCACACATGCAGTCTTGCCCTTATTTAAAATGTAAAAAAGTGTCTAAACGCCTCAATAAGGTGGCATCTTACTTTTTAAAGCCACTATTTCCAACATAAACATCCATTATTTTTGCATATTTATTGAGTGTTTTTTAAAATGTTATTATACCTCATTCTTTATTTTTTGACAGCTTCGATATATGGTTTATCAATACATTAAAGGTGGGGTAGGTAAGTTTGAGAAACCAGCTCGAGATCGCTAGAATTTGAAAATACACAGCCGGAGAAAATCTGCCACTTCCTTACAGAGCCCCTCCTCCAACACACACGAACGCGCACATGACCAATGAGGGCACGAGATAAGTTTGTGCACAGATGGAAGGCTGACAGGCAGGTAGGCCATCCAGTTATTTTAGCCGGGCCGGCTCAGATGATTGGTCGTGCTTTTTACAGTACCACGGCTTCCACAGATGATATTTTTTATGGATTTTTTGTCAAAGCACTTCAGATATTCATTGCTATCAGGATGTTAAGAGCATTCCATGGAATATAACAAAAAGTGTATCTCGAGCCGGTTTCTCAAACTTACCTACCCCACCTTTAACTAATCATTTAATTATATTACTAAATTGCCCTTTTTACAACTTTTTGTTACAGTAAATTGATGACACATTGTTTTCAGTTTTAGTTTTGTATGCATCCTTAAGTATCCTGTCTAGTGAGGATGTCATTGTGTTTAGTCGGCAATGTTTCTTTTTTAAACTTTGTTTATCGGGTTTTGCAATATAAACAATTATTGTTACATCAGAGCAGAGACAAACATTTACCGTAAAAGTTGTCATAGATTCATTAGCTAATGTTTTTTTCTGCAGGAAACAACCTCTCAGCGAAGCGTACACGCACGCACACGCACACGCACACGCACGCACACACGCACTCACACACACATACACACATACACACACGAACACACACAGAGCATGTGGAGGTTGGACTTTTTTGTAAGAAGAGGGTATTGTTTGTAAAATATGCACCCATAACATAAATTATAAGTAGTTAACTATTTTTTGAGAAGATATTCAACTTTGTAACATGTTGAAATCTAGATGTAGAGTATTTGAACCCCAACTTAGTTAAAGTAAATATAGTAAAAAGAGGATCGGTTACCCATAACAGTTAAAATAGTGTCTCTGGAAGCTTTAGCCCAGTGTGTTTGCGGACACTGACCTGAGAGAGGCGAGGGGCTCCGGGGCTGGAGGAGTTGGAGGCGGGGAGGCCCACCGTGGGGTTCATGGTGCGCTCTCTCTCCTCCTGGTAGATCCGGTCTCTCTCGCTCTCCGCCAGGTTCAGGAAGTTCTGCATGGCCTTCAGGTTCACCAGCAGAGACTGAGAGGCCGTGCGAGGGTCTTCCTCTTTCCTCAAGATCTCTGACAGCAGACCCTGAGGAGAGAAAACACACAGAGGGGGGGGGACATGGGGTTAGAGAATGGACTCAATATCAATCACTTCAAACCTCTAGTATTCATATACAGACTCATATGCACTGAAGATGGATGCTCCAAAATACTTAAGTTAACATATTCAATGCAGAAGAATGTCTCCTAAAATATGTCATTATATAATTATGGTTTTAATACTAAAGTATTCATGTAAAACAGCACTGCACTGTTGCAGTTGGAGCTGTAATACATTTCGTTGCAATTAACCAGAACCCAAAGTGACACAGGGTTTTGGCCAATCAACCGTCCAAACTTCAAAATAAAAACTACAAATATATAACAATAATTTAAGAAAAAGCAGGAATTCATGACATGTTAAAACCTGTTACAATGACATTTTAGCATCAGTAATTTTAAAACAGTTTACTTCTACTTCAAAAACACTTTATATTTGTACATGTTTTTGTTGTTTGGGTCAAAGGAAATCATATTAGTAAAATACTACTCAAATAAATGTACTTGTAAAAGTTGGTTAGAACTGAAAAACAATAAAGATGAATGAACATTATTAGCATATATCTTTGACACACACACACACACACACACACACACACATGCAAACTGAGTAAAACACACCTGGCCTCTACACAGACAGGTCTACCTCCCGTTGCACTGCTCTAATGGGGCGTGAGCTAACCCGTTTAGCACAGCCTGAATGCATCAGGTGCAAAACTCAATGACCCAGCACGCTACCCTGCTACGCTAACGCTAATCCCCCGAGGAGGGTGACCACAGAATTAGCCAAACGCTGTGAGAAAAAAAATGACAGTCCATCAGTGACGTCAAATTCTATTTATTTCTATCAAATACGGCGATTATCTCTTCTCGACTGAGATGGTGTGAGGGAGTGAGAACTATAATCAGTCGCTCGATAAAGACATCCAGGACAGCCTACAAAAGTACGTCATTCACCCCCACTCTGGAAGGAATATTTAAAGGTCTCCTATTATACTGTTTTTCATCAATACATTACAGGTCTCAGATATATACAGAACCTGTCTCTGATTGGCTGAAACACCAAACAGATCATTGCAGCATTACCCATAATCCCCTCTGTTTCAGCCCTGTTTCAAAAGTGCTGATTCTCTGTCTGTTACTTTAGATGAAAATAAGGAGCCCCTCCCCACGCCCCTCTGAGAGAGATTTGGTTACAAAGAACACAATGGTGCTCTAGGAGGAGATTCAGGTGATAAGGTGGGGGGGGGTTACCTTGGTTGCTGATTGGCTAATGGTTACACAAGCCAAAAAATCGTTATGACATCATAAAGTGGCCAAAATCTGATCAGCTCATTTTCAGACAGGTTTTTATAGAAATGGATCAGGACAAAAAGAGAGAGAATCTTTGTTCCTGAAACTTTCAGAGTCTCTTTACACAGAGCGGACACATGTTGATGAAGAAGAGACATGAAGAAGAAGGGACACATGTTGATGTAGAAGAGACATGAAGAAGAGGGGACACATGTTGATGTAGAAGAGACATGAAGAAGAGGGGACACATGTTGATGTAGAAGAGACATGAAGAAGAGGGGACACATGTTGATGTAGAAGAGACATGAAGAAGAGGGGACACATGTTGATGTAGAAGAGACATGAAGAAGAGGGGACACATGTTGATGTAGAAGAGACATGAAGAAGAGGGGACACATGTTGATGTAGAAGAGACATGAAGAAGAGGGGACACATGTTGATGTAGAAGAGACATGAAAAAGTGGATTTTGCATAATAGGTGACCTTTAACATTTCCTGACTCAATGACACCATCTCTATGAAGCTACCCTCTCTCCTCCTTTCTGTCCTCGTCCTTCCTTCCTTCCTCTTCCTCCCCCCACTGTCTCCTAACTTCTTGACCACAGTCGGTCCTGTTTTTCCTACCTGTGTGCGGTTGAAAGCCACACGGGCGAACACGGCCTGCGAGACACTAGCTCTCTTCAGCTCGTCTCTGACCTGCTGGTAGATTTCACAGGAGACGTCTGCGGGGTTGGAGGCGTTGCTCCCTGGATGATCTCCTCCCATTTTGGACCCCCTAGGGATGGGCGGGTGGTTGAGGAACTGCTGGTTGATGGCCTGTGGGTGCTGGTGGGCTAGCAGGCGGCTAACGGCTAGCTGCTGGTTGATGAGGTGGGCCATGGCGAGCTGTTGTCGCACCAGTTGAGGGGAAAGTTGGGGGGAAAGCAGCCCACCTGGACCCAGCAGGGAGGGGGGAGGAGGGTGAGGAACCTGGCCCGTTCGGAGGGGGGGGCTGTGGTGCATCGGGCCGTGAGGAGAGGGTTGTTGTTGTTGGGGGGTAAGCGGATGCTGTGAGGGATTCTGAGGGTCTCCAGCCTTAAGGAGGGAGCTGCCGGACCCCAGGTGCACGAGCTGAGCCAGGCCGGACAGGTGAGGAGGGGGGGGTCTCTGGCCCAGCACACAGAAGTCCGCCATGTTGTCTCTCTCTACTGGAAAGAGGAAGAAGAGACGGTCACTAGGTTAATATGCACGCTAAAATGTCATTGTTTTTCAGTATATGACAATACTCAGAATTGAATGAGGTAGTGAGGTCAAACAAACACTTTAAAACTAGTACTTACTTTTTATTTCAGCAGCATCTCGTCCAGACCACATCTTCTCCAGGTAATCTACTGCTCAACAAAACACATAGAGAAAGAAAATCTTTCAGTAGGTAGCGCTAAAATGTTATTCATCTACAAACGTGAAAAAAACGTCACAACAATCTCACCTGAAGGACCTCGTTATTAACTTTGAAGCTCAACTTTGAAGCTAACATGTACGAATAGTGCTCAACACAAAGGGACCGTGAGGTGAGATTGATCTGTCAACTGCTGTTTTCAAGTAACATACTTATACACAACTTAACATTCAAAACATAAATATTCATTGTAGAGAAAAAAGTTCTGATTGACAGGTGTAGCAGCCAATCAGAGCGAAGTCAGCTCTTTTGGAACTACTGCCGGGTGAAGAGTGTAACCTCACACTCCTCCATCACCCCGTCCTCCCTTTCCTCCTCTTTTTATATCTGGTTTTCAAGTGATTCATGTGATGATTGAAGCAAAGAGTCACTACGGATGATTTTTGCTTCAGGACAAAGACCCATGTTGCAGAATATATCAGAATCACTGTTACACTACAGTAGCAAGGCATTCAGTCCCACACGTCTTTCTACAAAGCCATATTTACATCCACCTTTCATCCCAGGTTGCATGTCTGAAGCTGATTTATACTTTGTGTGGGAGTCACAGATATGTACAGCACAGGTTTTTATTTATAGTGCCGTGTTGGATTTCACCTGATGAAAGAAACCCTGCAGCATTTATGATCAAGCCACCGCGCTTGAATTATATTCCCAGTTAAATGTGTTTACATTCTTATATTTACTTTATGATTTACAGCGACTGCATACGCTGCAGCGCCTCGCCTCTTTACAGAAAAGGAGACCACTGCTGTGTGTTTGCGTTCATTCATTTCTAGAAAGATGTAATCGCGGTCAACAGAGAATAGCTGAGTGTTTCTGAAACGCTGACTACTGCGCTTTCAACTTCCTAATTTACCAAAGAAACGTCAAAAGCTTGTTGCAGAAACACATTGTTTTTATCTCAGATGGCACTATGATCGTGAAGTGGAAATACATTTTTAAAAGGTGTGCATCTTCTAAAGCAGGGGTTCTCAAACTGTTTCTGTCAGGCCCCCCCTTTTGGAGAATAAAAAAAGTCGGGCCCCCCCAACACGAATAGTCACATAATGGGCCAAGTTAACATTTATTAAAATACATCAATATGAACGTGAGCATTCCTTTCAACAAAATTAAAAAATCACTTTGCTAGAACAGTGATAATAAAACAATGCTCCATCATTCTGTGTGGTCAAAAAAATAAATACATAATACAATTGTGCAATCCCTCTGCTAGAACAATAAGTTATAATACTTTGCCACTTTGCAATCTGTACAAACAAATGAAAAGAAAGAAAATGCTGATATTTGGCACAAAGTGTGTCTTATCATTAGTGGCTGCAATGAGCCTGTTTGGCACTGCAGACTTCTTCAAAACGGGGTCGCAGGCTCAGTGGCGGCGCCAGAGATTTCTTTTGGGGGTGCTGTGGGGTAGCTTGACGTTTCATAGAGGGTGCTCAAACATTTAGGGTTTCCCATTTAGGTACCGGGCGCTACAGAGGAATGTTCTACTGCAACAATCCCCACGCAAATACACAATGTACCTGCGACTGTTACAATGAAGGCTCGATAATCAGCTCACGGTATATAGGTGTAAGCAGGGGTAAAGTGCTGTTTTTATAAGTGGGGAGTGGACCTCACATCCTCTAGGGGGGTCCTCACCTCCTCTAGGGGGGTCCTCACATCCTCTAGGGGGGTCCTCACCTCCTCTAGGGGGGTCCTCACCTCCTCGAAGATTTTTTTTTAAATATTGAAGTGAAAAGCATCAATCTGGTGCACTTTGAGAGCAACATGAAGAGATCTATGGATACCTCTCTCAACACCCATTTGAAGCAGAACTGTAAACAGATTTACTTTTTCTCTATGGATATTTTACAAATCACTCCCCTTTTAAACTGTATTCTTGTTTTACTGTCCTATAGTATTTCAAACCTGTTTTTCATTTATTCTCTTATTTTTTTATAACTATAATGATCATATAAACGTGTGCCTCGGAAATAATTGTTTACATGAATCGCTATGTGGTGACTTGAACCTTTAAATCTAGCTTTATGGTGTGATTACATAAAAGGCAGTTGGAGTTGGAGTGTCAACTTTCTAAGGAAGTGTGCATGTCTATTAGCATTGAGATTCTGTTGTTAAATCAAAAATTACAAATGATTCTGCGGTCAAACTATTGATTAATAATACTTGCATATTCAGCAGAAGGGTCATTTTTCATCCTGAGATTTTTTGTTGTTCATTTAAATACTTTCTAGAGGGAAAATATTCTTAAAACTAAAGCAAATATTGAAGAAAAGACCCAAAAAGTTAAAGTTCTCTTATTATGACCTACCCCAAGAATCATTTTGTGACCTCTGGATTATTATCAGTCAAATTTGATTTACGACATCATGTGCAACATATTGGACATTATCATGGACAACCTGTACTTGAGTTTTAATATTGTACATATTTATGTTTGGTAACCATCACAAATGATCCTAACTTTGGCATGGAGTATATTTTGGATTTGCAACTATATTTATACTTTCGAATGTATACATTTGCACTTTTTCTAAACGTAATACTGCAACTGCTGCACACAGCTTCCCTTGAAATATAAGAAAAGTTCCAACATATCTTCTTGTTAGTCCTTACTCCACATTGGAAACTATCTGTGGACTGTAAGAGCGTTTAAAGGGTCCTATTATCCTCATTGTTAAGGCCTTTTGCAGGGAACACAGGGATAGCCTTTGCAGACCATTAACATGCACACAAACCTATACAAAAAGCATAATAGGGCCTCTTTAAAATAAGTAAATTATTATTATTTGTTAGTTTTTCTCACCTTTCATATTTTTATATCTCTTGTACCAACGAGCAAACTCCTGGCATTTGGCGGTGGAGACGTTGGCGTAGTAGGAATTGTTCACGATGGAGGAAATCATACTCTGAGAGACAGAGAGGGCGAAAGATCATTAATAACCAGTATAATATGAAATGCTTACACTCACGCAACAACCTCATGGCATGCTCACATAAACACACACACATAAACACACACACACACACACACACACACTAGAAATAGACACACATTAATCATGATTTGAAGCCACCCATGGAAACTGGAGGCAGTGAGGGAGGGAATCTCCACACACACACACACACACGCACACACACACACACACACACACACACACACACACACACACAACACACACACACACACACACACACACACACACACACACACACACACACACACACACACACACACACACACACACACACACACACACACACACACAACACACACACACACACACACACACACACACACACACACACACACACACACATGCTTTAAATTGAAGCTGCGATCAACACCAGAGCTGCATTTAAACACAGTACACACACACACACACACACACACACACACACACACACACACACACACACACACACACACACACACACACACACACACACACACACACACACACACACACACACACACACACACATAAATCTGACACAGCAGCATAGTGGGCTGAACATGCAGCTGGGGAGTTGAACATAATTGAGGAGACACTGCTTCATTCTGTGGGGTGGAGTTTGATAAAAATGTAGCAATAAGCAATACAATGTAGAATTAATTTTAAATGTCTTTCTCATGCGAGCTGACTTTAGTCATCAGTCGGGACATGTGTTGGTCTAATCAGTGAGAGAGATGTTTCAAATTAAGACTAAATACAACTCATAAGAGAAGGTTTTAATATAAGCAAGAGTGATAGTGTATTACAACTCACATATATCTGACATTAAATAGCTTAAATGTCCCTTTCAATTATGTATTTTTAACTGAAGAGTTTAGTTTCGATTTAATTCAACAGATCCTGGTTGTCTTTGAACAACTTATAAATAAACTTTTATCATGAAGAGTTATTTAATTGATAAGCACTTCTCTAAGTTGAAGAACATGAGGTACTGTTGTTGTTGTTGTTACCTGTGACAGCGGACACTCTTTGGCCAGAGTGCTTTGGTTCATCTCCCTCAGCAGATCTTTGAGAGCGTTCCTCACCGTCGTGTGGTTCCACTGTTCAGAGGGAAGGTCCTCCATCTTTGAAAAACTGAAACAAAAAACACACAGGAGTCAGTCGGGTTAATAAGTCCAGGCAGAAAAGAACAACTAAAGGAATAGTTTGACATTTTGGGAATGTGCCTTTTTTGCAGTAAATATGAAGCCATCATCCTGTTAGCTTAGCATAAAGCCTGGAAAGAGCTAGCCTTATTAGATTATTATATATTAAAGGACCCAATTAGAATAAATAAATAAATAATTACAAAAAAGGGTGAGCTTGGTGTGGGGTATACAGTAAGTAAGAATACTGTTTTTATTTTTTAAATATACATTTCTGTGTCTTTTTTTCTTTCAAATTAACCTAATTCCCCATTTTTTTATATTTTAAGGAGCGCTTAAAATAGTTATGTTTGCGCTGCAGAGTGACATCCATCTTCTCATTAAACGTTTCCTTTAATCCTAAATTAAATTAACCCCAAATGAAGCTCTAACCCCTCTGACCTCACACACATCCTGCATTAACCTCAAACCCTCCACTTCCTGTATCTCCCCACAATCTCCCTGTTTTATATTTTAACCTCAAAATGAATCATTTCTACTCTTGAGCACAAAGTGTGCCAGACCTCTTCCATCGCCATGGATACGCATACACAAACATGTAAACAAACCTGGCTGGTATGTTCCAAGACAACAACGATAAAACTCTTCTCATCTGGAGTTTATCTGGCTTTTATCTGCCCATCAGGACCCCGCTTCACTCCTGGCACACGGACTCTCGCAGATAATAGATAAATCCCCAGCGGGTTGTTTACAGTTTCAATATCGCCGCTTTGCAAATTTGATAGATATGGTAAATTCTTAAACTGCAATCAGCTGCAATGACATCAGTCGCCCAGTGGACCGAGAGTCTGAATCAGTGAGAGGTTCACTGTCTGCAGGAAATATGGACGTGTAATTAAATGTTACTTTCTAGTTTATCCCACTGAAATCTAAGGCTACACGAGTTATCGACATTTTGTAGGAATCTCAAATCAGGCTGGTGCAATATTCATATTACCAGCCAAAGTATGTGTAAATATTATTCAGAATTCACTCTTTGTTAACTTCTATGTCCATGAGTTGTGAAGAGATTAACCTAAGTGACTTTCACACTGCAAAAAATATCAAAAATGTACCCCCAAAAATAATCAATATTAGTTTTGTAGTCATTTTTAGATGTATTATTGTGTTAGGGCTACATTCAAATTGCGACATTGGCTAATGCAATTTTTGTTTACAGAAAGATGTGTGTATATATTATTCTGAATTGTCGGGTTGCAGAGATTTCCCGTCATACTAATTGTACTCTACCCATTTAAATATCTTTGTTTGGCACAGACCCTCTTATATCTACGTTCATATATGCATGATTGTGTGAGTTGGGAGGAAATCATATACGTGATGAAACGGTTTCTTCATCTTGTTTATACATTTGATTTGCAAGAATAATTTTTTGTTTTTTGGGAAGAATGTAATATGATGAAACACACTGACATGTTAAAGGTCCGGTATTTAAACCCTTACTCACCCTAAACAAGTAACAATTAAAATATATATTTTTAAATATATTATTTTGAATACATCTTTCAATCAGTCCAACCCCTGTTAACCATTTCTCAAAAGCAACATCAGTCAACATATTCACACTTATTTCCAAACCGTGCAGCCGTACTGAAATCTACAGAATGATTCTAGATGTGAATGTGTGTGTAGGGGAGATTTCAGCACTCACTCTGACCTCTGCAGCTGGATGCGCAGAGTGACCATGTGATAAACATCCATCAGCATGTCGGCCACCGTGGCTTCAGGAGCGTCCGTCAGGAAGTGGATCGGCATGGGGTTCCAGCGGCCCACCTTTATGATGCCTGCACAAGAAACATGGACACATTCTGTCATTGTGAGGTTTTATGTATATTAACATTTTGACATTATATGAAAAAGCAGTAAATAAGTTAAAAAAAAACAATTAGAAAAACATTTATTAATCGCTGTAGGGAAATTCATTTTGTATCGTAAATGCAATTGCCAGTAGTACAAATCTAACATTAGGCTACAAAGGAACTACAGCACGGTCACAGGACTTCACGTCACCACCGCTAAGCTAAAGGAGGCTAATGTTGGGCTATAAAGGAACTACAGCACGGTCACATGACTTCACGTCACCACCGCTAAGCTAAAGGAGGCTAATGTTGGGCTATAAAGGAACTACAGCACGGTCACATGACTTCACGTCGCCACCGCTAAGCTAAAGGAGGCTAATGTTAGGCTATAAAGGAACTACAGCACGGTCACATGACTTCACGTCACCACCGCTAAGCTAAAGGAGGCTAATGTTGGGCTATAAAGGAACTACAGCACGGTCACATGACTTCACGTCACCACCGCTAAGCTAAAGGTGGCTAATGTTGGGCTATAAAAGGAACTACAGCACGGTCACATGACTTCACGTCGCCACCGCTAAGCTAAAGGTGGCTAATGTTGGGCTATAAAGGAACTACAGCACGGTTACATGACTTCACGTCACCACCGCTAAGCTAAAGGTGGCTAATGTTAGGCTATAAAGGAACTACAGCACGGTCACATGACTTCACGTCACCACCACTAAGCTAAAGGAAGCTAATGTTGGGCTATAAAAGAACTACAGCACGGTCACATGACTTCACGTCACCACCGCTAAGCTAAAGGTGGCTAATGTTGGGCTATAAAAGGAACTACAGCACGGTCACATGACTTCACGTCGCCACCGCTAAGCTAAAGGTGGCTAATGTTGGGCTATAAAGGAACTACAGCACGGTCACATGACTTCACGTCACCACCGCTAAGCTAAAGGTGGCTAATGTTGGGCTATAAAGGAACTACAGCACGGTCACATGACTTCACGTCACCACCACTAAGCTAAAGGAAGCTAATGTTGGGCTATAAAAGAACTACAGCACGGTCACATGACTTCACGTCGCCACCGCTAAGCTAAAGGCGGCTAATGTTGGGCTATAAAGGAACTACAGCACGGTCACAGGACTTCACGTCACCACCGCTAAGCTAAAGGTGGCTAATGTTGGGCTATAAAGGAACTACAGCACGGTCACATGACTTCACGTTAAGCACTTTTTCGCTAAGCTAAAGAAAGGATTTCAGGAGGATATAAAACGGAATCCTAGTGTACAGAAAGCTAACGTAAGTGGGTCAGAATGGAAGGTAATATGCTGTCTTTGTTTAGTGTTTGTCAAATAAGGACTGAATAAATAACATGATACACACAAACACACTTCACCTACACGTTCACACACTCTTACACACACTCAGAGGTTTTTCATGGGGACTGGCTGGAGCTGTGAAAACTAAACAAAGCTAATCGCATTACGATCCTCCAAATGAGATCCAGACGGGTCCTGAGAAGTCTCCCCTCTGTTTCCCCCATCCCATCATATCTTCCTCCTCTCTCCCCCCTCTAGACTCCCCTTTCTCTCTTTGTCCTGCTTCCCTGTGTTTACTGTATATCTCCGTTATATCTTTGATTCCCGTCAGGCCGAGCTGTGTTCTTCATTATCTGGCCGTACAGGGGGAGCATCATTTAATGTAAAACCACCATCATAACGTTAAAAAAAAAAAAAATAGAACCAAAAATCTATTTTGTAACAGTAGTTTCTCGTTTGAGGTCATCTGGGCTGCAAAAAAAACCTCGCTTTTGGAAATAAACGCTCAGTTTTCTGTCTTCATTAAATAAGAAATGTCAGAGTTTTGTGAGAAAAGATAGTCTGACTCAAAAAACACTAAATGTTAGAATTAAAGCTCCTTCAATATGTTACATTTGTATATTTACATGTGTTTTTGAGACATTTCCTAACCTGCATGGAACAGGCAAATGTGATTTTTATAAATATTTTTGTAACACTTTTTAAGTATTACATAGGTAAAACTACCTTAAAATTATATTTCCACATACTTTATATACTATTTGTGTGAATTTATCTTGTGAAATAACAGATTGCACGGATGACGACATGAGTTTCACACATGAAAGACTTTTGTAAAAAAGGACGTGATGAAATGCATTTTAAAGAGATGGAAGAAAATACTCAGATCCTTTTATGACAGAGAGAGGAAAGCACATCCTCCTCTTGTTTTTCTTATTTTCTCTGTCTCTTTAACACACACACACACACACACACACACAGATCCAAACACACACACACACAAAGAAACTGGATCATCGTCTGAAAATAAGCCATAACAATTCCGCTAATGCCAAGTTGGGTGGAAGCAAACGCGTGAATAAGCAGACAAACACAAACTCACCGAGGACAGCACACAGAGAAGTGGACATGTACATGTTCCCGCTCGCATGCAAACACACACACTCTCACACACACGCTCGCAATGGGATGGTAAATGCATTAATAATTGATCCATCATTTTTTGGTCTGCTGTTCAATGGGCTCTGCTTCATGTCCACATTTAAAAGTAGAAATCATTGTTCCCATTTCCACATTAAAATTCCACCTCCCAAAGACACGCTTTCATGTGGCCGGGCCGGCGGCTTGGCTCATGTCTGAGTGTGCCCATCCACACACACACACACACACATCGAAACACACACACACACACATCGAAACACACACACACACACACTGATACAAGTGTACACACAGTAATCTCATTGTCCCGTGCTGGAATAAGTCTTAATGGCGGCAGCAGCCTACACACACACACACACACACACACAGGAGAAGGCTTCTTCTTCCAAAAATGGTTCCAGCTCCAGCCCCTGGCACAAACTGAGGGAAATCCCATACGTGTGACGTGTGACGCACCCCCCCCCCCCCCCACCCCCACCCCCATCACCCGTCATTGCACCCTGAGCAACCCCTCTTGATGAAAATCTGTCATGCTGTTATTTTAGAGAGTGCTCCTCTGCGCTGAAATCTGTAAAATAATACGGAGGAGGTCTGGACCACCTCGTAGGGAACAGGCTTAATATGAGTGGTGCATTTTGATTGGGAAATACTTAAAAAACAATCTGCATCTTCGTAATAAGGCATATTTATTTAAGGGAAAATCTTTATTATAGATGAATAAGTAATTCTGTTTTCTTTCATTGAGCATTACTGAACCATAATTAGAAGACATTTTGAGATGTCATGTTGAGAAATATCAATATTTTATCGTAAGATTTGTCTTTTTATCTCATTCTTTGTTTAAAGTGGACCTATTATGCTATATTGGAAAAATATATTGTAGGGCCAGACCTATACAAAACATGTCTGTGAAGTTTGTTGCTTAAAATCCCAAACAGATCACTCATTGTAGCCATGCCTCATTCTGCTCATACCCCTCTTTTGCAGCCCTGTTAGAGAAACGCGGATTTTGGGTCCTGAGCTTGAAAATTAAAAAAAAGAGGAGGCGGAGCTAATGCCTGATCAGAATTCTACCGGAGTTAAATTCTGCTGTGATAAAACGCAATCCTGTTCTAAACCACATCAAGGATTATTTCTGAAACAGTATGGAGCTCAAATGCTTTTTCTCTTGTGGGTTTACCACAAGGTGAGTTCCTTTTTTTATTTCCTGCTTTTTAAACACATGTGCTCTCCAGTACAGGTTAGCTCTGAGTGTTAGCGAGGCTTGCTAATGTAAACAAAGACGAGATTACCTCCAAAACACGTCAAGACTTGTTTCTGATAGCAATTTTCTGTGGGTCCGCCGCCGATTTGACGTCAGATCGGCAGCAAATCTGTATCCGCTCGTTGTACCCCCCGTTTTTAAAAGATTTGGGTACGGAGGAAAAGAGAGAGGGTTTTATTTTCTGACGCTGCGTGAGTTCCCCGACACACCAGGGACACATATTTATGTATAAAATACATCACAAAGTGCATTTTGCATGATAGGTTCCCTTTTCTTTAAGCTGAAGATTATTAACTATTTATAGCTAAATCCATTTATTCAAGTAAACATATCATGCAACATGTAAGGTTAATACGTTACATTTTGTTTTAAAAGTACGTCTTCACATGCCCCCCTTTTTATTAAAGAGTCACCGCAAGCTCATCGTAGTGTTTACCCTGATAAATATGGATTGGCAATCACTTTTAAACATTTTTTTATAAAACCAGAATTATCCTCTAAAACAGCGTATGCATGAGGAGGATATACTCTAGTCAAAGAAGGAAGGACCCTTTTATTTTGGAGTGGATCCGATTCACAGGCTGGACACACAAATTAGGTTTTACTCTCGTTAACATTGCACATTGTATTTGGGAAAATTCACGTCAACAGCCCTTCTTCATAGCGGCCATGTTGTGTCCACATTATGACTTAAAGCTCACAAACACATCAAAGTGAGACGAACAACTTCCCAACTCTGGAAATGGAAACATCCAAGGAGCATTTGAATGCGCTTTGTCGTTGGTCTTAGCTATTAAAGTGCCATCTAACTTTACGAAATGTGTAAACAAAAATGGAAACAGGAAGAATGTGGGAAGATACAGGAAGTGGTGGGTCTGACGCTAATGCAGGATGTTCATAAGATCAGTGAGGTTAGGGTTAGTAACTAATTAGGGGTTAATTTAGGATCAAAAGTAAAGTTAGATGACAAGATTAACATCAGTCATGTCTGTAATGTTAATACCAATCTACAACCAGTTAGCTTAGCTTAGCATAAACAATGCAAACAGGGGGAACAGCTAGCCTGGCTAAGTAACAGAATGTGTCTACGAGCACCTCTATAGACATATTAATAGAAAAGTAAAGCATGCCTTGAATAAATAAGACTGCTGTTTTAGTCAAATGTAACAGCACTACCCTGTAAATAGCTCAGATGTCCATTGAATGTTGGACATGTGACCTTTACAGACGTGGCACTGCAACAATGCTCCTCGCTGACCACTGTTAAAGTACAGGTCTGCTCCCATCCATTCTATAAAAGCCTTCAGACCCTTATAATTGAAATAAACAATATCTCCCAGTTAATTACTGGGCTAAGCTAATTAAAGAAAGGCCGTGGTCCTTTAAATACACCGCTGGGACGCAAGAATGCAGGACACAATTCAAACAGGGAGAAAATAGCAGGGACTCTGTGTAATTTTGGTCGTGGACCGCAGGGGAAAAAATGTATAATTTAAGCCAGAAATTATTCATTTAACATAAACGCTTGTTTTAAAAAACAAAAAGTATTCATTTGGGAGAAGCTGGGGGGAGGTGTGTGCGTGTTTTGTCTGTGATACTGCATGAATACACGGCATTAGTGTGAGCAAATGCTTCGGTGCATGGGTTGAATAGAGTTTACAAGAGTGTGTTCTGTCCACACGCTGTAAGCTAAGAGTCTCAGAGTTCCGTCGACTTGTGATGTCCCGGTTCGTCTCGCCTTTGAAGCCCCTGCTGCGGCGCTTTAGAGGGAGTGCATTGATGTGGACGGGGGGCGACGAATGTGGCTCCATGTTTTCCACACACACACACACACACACACACACACTGATGAGACAGACAGACAGAGACCTCCCCTGATACTTGGCGAAAAACATTGAGGCTAAAAGTGTTTCTAATGGCATTCATCTGCAAACCGTAGCCGTGGATATTCTCGGCCATCGCTGTCGGATAATGTGCATCTGTGTTTTATTTATTTGTCTAACTCCTTTTAACAGGCTGTCAATTGCAGCTCTGATTTTCTCGTAAAACCAAATAAAGGGTTGCACAGAAAATGACCGGTTATAGTGAGCACATCTGCAGAGATGAGAGTCACCTCTTAAGAGTTCTATTTATTTCCAGGAGTTTAGCATCTCACTGCAGCAGTGATGTGCAGGTGTACCTCTGGGTGTGTGTGTGTGTGTGTGTGTGTGTGTGTGTGTGTGTGTGTGTGTCCGTACACTGTGACATCACAGATAGGTGTGTTTAGAGGTGCTTGAAACTTAAAATCAAAAAGGCACCAAAACAGCCACTTTCAATTAAATGTGTTTATAGCGCTGATACAATTACGCCTAAATCTCCAACTATTAAAGTTGCATTGACAGATTTTTAACTTAGACTTATCATTTTGAAGTAAATGTTGATTGCCCAATCAATGGCTGCAGAATAAAGACAATATGAGGGCTTAGCTTTGTTACAAATAATCTGTGTAATCCAAACAATGCTAAGAGTCGCAAGATGACGACATGTGTTCATTTGAATAAACCTAAATGGATGAGTTAGAATATTAGAATATTAACCTTATCTCTCCCTCTCCTGGCAACAGGAGAGGGAGAGATAAGGTTAATATTCTAATATTTTGGAATATATTTCTTGCTTTTTCCCCGCTGCTTTGAATTAGTTGCCTCATTTTTTTGCCAGTATCGAGCCTAAAGAAAAATGTGTTTCTAGGAAAAGCCATCCAAATTAATCAAGATGAAGTGCATTTAATAATCTGAGTAGCGGAGGTCAGACTCCAGGTTTAAGTTCAGGATATCTTCAGCCAAATTTCTAACTGAGGTCGAGAGTACACGCTGTGTCTCAGGTGGGCTGCAGCCTGATAAGAGCTGCTGGCCTTGAGGCAATAAAGGGATTACCTGCAGCAGTGTGTTTATGAGGAGAAGGAGAACACACACACACACACACACACACACACACACACACACACACACTCTCAGCAGCGAGATGTCAAACAGATGGGGATGTCCCACCCTTCCTCAGTGTGTTGCTGAAGCCTCGCTGCTCTGTGTCGCTCTGTTGTTACCGTTTAATATCGATGTGAGGCAACTTCCCCAGATGGCATTTTCTGCATACTTGAGAAAAGACAGCAGTAAACGACAGTGTCCTTCTGCAGATCACTACCATGTGTGCGACAATAAATTACAGAGATTTTCTTTTCCTCTGCTTCATAAACATTCTCACACACACTACACACACACACATAATGTATTTTCGTCTTGCGGGGACATTCCTGACCGGCTCTTTGTTGTGTCTTTAATGACTTCTGCAGGCTCTGTCTGTGTCTTAGTTGTGTTTTTGAAGCATTCTTGTGCTTATTGCCAGCGTCACAGTACAGTGTCTGCTGTAAATAGACGACCTCACATCCAGTATTCTCCTCAGCCGATGATTAGAGGCTCCGGGATCATTCTCGCCCTGACCCCCGAGCTGCACGGTATTTAATTCTGAGTCAGGAGCGCCAGAGTTTACACAGCGAGAGACACTGAGGTTGGAAAATAAGGACTATTAATAATAGCCTTGATGAAATCCTTCTCAAGCTAACAAAAGGAGGCAGCTTGACCTCAGATATTTAACCGTTTCAAACTGTATTTCTCTGGCACGCCAAAATAGTTTCGTTTGTTATCTTTGCCACTTCTACTACTATTACTTCTGCAGCTAACATCTTTGTTTCTCACCGATTGCTTTACCCCCGAGCTAAGATCCACCAGACAAAGTCTTCAATTTGATTTGATGAGCTGGTTTCATGCTAAATGTCAGAGTGTTTTATCCATGACAAAGCTAATGAGTGAGCACTAAAGCACATGTAAAGGTAATAAGTCTTGTTCGAGGTCAATATCGGTTTCTGGTGTTGTAATAGTTGGTGTAGCATGCTCCTTCTGACCCACATCTATGAGGCTGATAACCAAACGCACATTTCATCGTTAAGATTAAGACCCTCAAAAGTATTTTATTCGTTTAATTGACTTGTATGCAGTATATTCATCCCTATAGTCTTGGCTTGGGACCCAGAGGATCCTGGATCAAATCCCCAAAAGGACCAAGTATGGAGAGTAGACTTGTTCTTAGAGAGATGCTGGTTTCTTTTGTGCCATGCTGAGGTGTGTGCTGTGTGTGTGTGTGTGTGTGTGTGTGTGTGTGTGTGTGTGTGTGTGTGGGTGTGTGTGTGTGTGTGTGGTGTGTGTGTGTGTGTGTGTGTGTGTGTGTGTGTAGTGTGTGTGTGTCGCTGACCTTTAGGTGTGTGCAGTGTGTGTGTGTGTCTCTGACTTTCTTCAGGTGTGTGCAGTGTGTGTGTGTGTGTGTGTGTGTGTGTGTGTGTGTGTGTGTGTGTGTGTGTGTGTGTAGTGTGTGTGTGTGTGTCGCTGACCTTTAGGTGTGTGCAGTGTGTGTGTGTGTCTCTGACTTTCTTCAGGTGTGTGCAGTGTGTGTGTGTGTGTGTGTGTGTGTGTGTGTGTGTGTGTGTGTGTGTGTAGTGTGTGTGTGTGTGTGTCGCTGACCTTTAGGTGTGTGCAGTGTGTGTGTGTGTCTCTGACTTTCTTCAGGTGTGTGCAGTGTGTGTGTGTGTGTGTGTGTGTGTGTGTGTGTGTGTGTGTAGTGTGTGTGTGTCGCTGACCTTTAGGTGTGTGCAGTGTGTGTGTGTGTCTCTGACTTTCTTCAGGTGTGTGCAGTGTGTGTGTGTTTGTGTGTGTGTGTGTGTGTGTGTGTGTGTGTGTGTGTGTGTGTGTGTGTGTGTGTCTGACTTTCTTCAGGTGTGTGCAGTGTGTGTGTCTGACTTTCTTCAGGTGTGTGCAGTGTGTGTGTGTTTGTGTGTGTGTGTGTGTGTGTGTGTGTGTGTGTGTGTGTGTGTGTGTGTCTGACTTTCTTCAGGTGTGTGCAGTGTGTGTGTCTGACTTTCTTCAGGTGTGTGCAGTGTGTGTGTGTCTCTGACTTTCTTCAGGTGTGTGTGTGTGTCAGACTGACCGTGTGCCTGTGCAGCCGAACTGTGTGAGTATCCGAGGGCGAGCAGGGCCGTCTCCACCAGCTGAGAGAAGAGGATGTCCTTCCTCACCAACACGAACTCTGAGTGCTCCTCCCTCCCCTCCCCCGCCTCCGTCTGCACCCCCCCATCAGACTCCACCACGCAGAACACAGGGATCATCAGACCTGTGGAGGAAAACAAGTGCATTTTAGTGTCCGGGCAGAGGTGGAGGAAGGGTTCAGAGGCTTTACTTGAGGAAAAGTACCAATACATTATTGTCAAAGTACTTAATTCAAAAGCTTACTTAAGTAAAAGTACAAAAGTATTATGTGCTAAATGAGCTTAAAGAGTAAGTCTACTAGTTACATTTTTAGATATGGATTTTGTTAAAAGTATCTAAGGCTAATACATAGTGGAGTAGAAGTATACAGTATACATACAGTACATATACAGTACAAATACATAGCATAACATGGAAATACTCAAGTAAAGAACAAGTACTTAGGTACAGTACCTGAGTAAATGTACTGAGTTACTTCCCACCTCTGTGTCTGGCTCTTATTGTCCGTGATCACAACAGTGTATCCTCTACAGACAGCGGACATATGGATCTTATTTACTGTGGATCAACCTTTGTAATCGCTTCCTTTTTCTCACACACTCTTCAAAGTTGCCTCGCCTGAAGTCCTCAGAGTGTTCGATCCACAGGGGATGCAACACAAATGGGATGCTTTGTTAAATAACCAGTAACAGGGCTGTTCACTGTCACTGGCTTTTTATCTAACGGCTATTAGATAGGAGGCCGTTATAATGGCTCCACTAACAGATATGCAAAAACTATACAAAAGACAGACACTGACAACATGTGGTACTTTCATTAGAGTATTAACAAGGGGACCATTTATAGCAAAGGTGGGGCTGAATATGAATGTGAATACAGAAGGATGAATTAACACGATACCTCGTAAAAACACGGCTTTGAGGACAGGTGACATCATACCACATTCTCAAGAAGGGTTTGCATGAATCACACACACACGTACACACACACAAGCACACAGACAGACAGACAGACACAGAGACACACACACGTACACACACAAGCACACAGACAGACAGACACACACACACACACACACACACACACAAGCACACAGACACACACACACACACACAGACACACACACACACACGTACACACAAACACAAGCACACAGACAGACAGACAGACACAGAGACACACACACGTACACACACAAGCACACAGACAGACAGACACACACACACACACACACACACACACACAAGCACACAGACACACACACACACACACAGACACACACACACACGTACACACAAACACAAGCACACAGACAGACAGACAGACACAGAGACACACACACGTACACACACAAGCACACAGACAGACAGACAGACACACACACACACACACAAGCACACAGACACACACACACACAAGCACACAGACACACACACACACACACACGTACACACAAACACAAGCACACAGACAGACAGACAGACACAGAGACACACACACGTACACACACAAGCACACAGACAGACAGACACACACACACACACACACAAGCACACAGACACACACACACACAAGCACACAGACACACACACACACACACACACACACACACAAGCACACACACACACACACACACACACAGACAGACAGACACACACACATACACACACAGACACACACACACACACACACACACACACACAAGCACACAGACACACACACAGACAGACAGACATACACACAGACACACACAGACACACACACACACACACACAGACACACACACACACACACACACACACCACACACACACACACACACACACCACAGACACCACACAGTCAGACACTGTGTTTTTCTATGGAAGTGAAACTATTTGACAGTTATGTGCAGAAACTATAATTTAGGTAAAGCCAGAATACAGTCAAAACGTTTGATAAATCCAAAATAAAGAGCTTTTTGACATCCAAGCACTTTTAGGGTCTTATTTTGTGGTATTCCATAATGAGACTCTATTGTATTTCAACGAGTACTGTCCTTGAGACATTGGTATGTAAAGGTGTTTAGCTAGTCTACTGGTATGAAAATGAACTTGAGCATAACGAATGAGAAACTTAAAAACATTGTTGTCTCAATATTGAGACACTTGATAAAAAACACAGTGATATTTGACTTCCTCCCAGGTGACATTAGAGTGAGTATCAGATTCCCAGCATCGTGCCTCTTGGCTCGCGGTTCTAATATCACTCCTTTTTCCTGAAAGGCTTTTGGTTTTGGGCCACCTGTCAGCTGCCAATTAATTAAAGCTCTCAGAAGAAATGATGGAGAGAGAGCATTAGGCAGCGTCCCAGCACTAATAATAATACAGTGCCACACAATAACACACACACACACACACGCTGCTCCACGAGGTGCACGCAGCATCGCATCCAGCCGTTGTTTTAATCAGTCAATTCCTATATTTCTATTTCCTCCTCATTAATCACTCCGCTCAGTCCTCCAGGCTCTCATGGAGTGAATTACACACCGGAGCACGCTGCCAATTCAAGTAAGTGAATTTCCCCCAACAGGGAAATATAACTGTCAACACGGAGCAGCTCCCACTCCTCTCTCCCCCCCACACCCCCCCCCCCCTCTGTTTCTCCACCTCCTCTCGTATTCCCAGTGTCCTGTGATCTGGTGTGAAGTTGCCTCAAACCTCTAATCCCTCTAATATGTACGGGGATGAGAGAACGGGGGTATTCAAATATGATGTGTGTGTGTAAGTGTGTGTGTTTTGGCCAGGGTCTGTTGGGTGTGAGTGTCACTGAGTTTGTGAATGTGGACATAGGGTTTGTCGGTGTGTGTGTGTGTGTGTGTGTGTGTGTGTGTGTGTGTGTGTGTGTGTGTGTGTGTGTGTGTGTGTGTGTGTGTGTGTGTGTGTGTGTGTGTGTGTGTGTGTGTGTGTGTGTGTGTTGTGTGTGTGTGTGTGTGGTTTGGAGGAGACACGTCGAGTTTCCTGTCTTCAACGACACCCCGTCATTATTTCAGACCAACCGTCCTCCGTCCTCCTTCCTCCTCTTTTCTCACACAGAAATATTTTTTACTACAACTCTGGTTCCCAACGTTTGATATTCAGCTGAAGAAATGTCAAACTGTATTCAATCCAGACAGAATTAGACTCGTGCCAAAAAGAGGTGGAGGTTTGCAGAGAATATGACACAAACTTCAAGTGAATGGTCTGACGGGTCAACTGTATGTTATGTGTAGTATTCTTGTTGTTCTATGTTTTAGTATATCCTCTCCTTCTTCATCCTCTCCTTCTTCATCCTCTCCTTCTCCTCTTACTGTGGTCACGTTGTTGATGTTTCTAACTTCTAACTCTTTCCAAACCTCAGACTTTTTTCGCAGTCCTCTTTTTACTTTCTTATTATAGCAAAGATCCCAAATGTTTGCTGACATATGCAAGAAGGAATATTGAGAACTATTTGTGTGAAAGTATGCACATAATATCGATAATATCTCTTTTCTGTAAGCGATTTGTCTTTTTGAAATTGTCAAAATGTCTTCAGATATTCACTTTAAATATGACAGAAATGTGTGAGGCTAAAAGCAGCATTTACGGACATTTTTACATACAAAATATTCACGCATTTGTAAATGAATAGAGCTGTCAGCGATTATTTACACCAATAGAGGGTTAGAACAAGAACATATTGTGTAGAAAGTATATTTTACTAAATATAAGGGCAGTTTGGGATTAACATCAAGACTGTGAGAGACATTTCTGCTAACAAATGGTGACACAAACACTCTCACACACGCTCACACACACACACACACACACACACTGCACACACACTGTACACAAATGCTCACACACACACACACACACGCAATAACTTCTACAATGACTGCGTGGATCGATGGAGCGGAGTGAGTTGTATAAATCTTGTTTATATGGAGCAATCTCCTTTATTTGGTAGCATGTATTATACAGTTCCCTCCAGACGTATAGATTATCAGGAACAGCTCTCAGTGCCGCTCGACTGAGAGAAACTCCTGAGGGAAGTCAACGACTGTGTGAGAGAGAGGTGGTAATCTACGTTCTCTATTTCAGCAGATATCGAATGTGCTTATATGGACAAAAGATATTAGCTTGTTGTTCATTTCTTAGGTGTAAAGTATATTTTTTTAGCACTGAACCACATTTTTAAAGTGGGTATTGATCACCTTCAGTTCTGCTTTGAGGCAATAGACTGGAGAGGACATTTTATACCACTGTATAGTTGTTGAAATATAATTTTTTTAATATTGTACTACGATGTTCACACTTTACTTTAACTTCTTGCTGTTATATAAATATATTTATTCTATTTTCATTTATTAAATATTTTTTTAATGTGATATTTAAGATCTTTTCATTCCTAATTTACCTTCTTATATTTGTATTTTATTCTATTATTATTACAAGAAATATTATTATTCAATTTTTCTGTAACTTTAAATATTTTTATTTGATTTAATCTTTTTTTAATACATTTTTTTATATAAATATGTTTCTTCCATCTGTGTCATTTATATTATATAAGAGGCAAAAAAAAACAGCCATTTGCATTTATCCAAAGAGACTTTCATAAACTTAAATACTGAAGACATGCCTACTGGAACATTTTGACCGGTCAACAACGACAAGTCCACTGAGACAAATGTAAAACGTGTGATATTAATATACTATATAAATAAACTTTGATTGATTGATTGAGCTTCTCAAGCTTCACCGTCTCCTCACCACTCTGATGTTTTCATCTCTTCACAGGTTCGACTTCACATTGAGTTTGTGGCTTGTAAACAAACGTCTTCACACAGTAAACAAACGTGTGTTGATGCACATCAGCTCACCTCCGAGGGGCCTCATCGGGGCCCCGTTGTGGCGGATGCGGGGCCCGGTGGGGCTCCCGTTGAGCTCCAGCCGGCTCTTCTTCCCTGGGGGGGGCAGGACGCTGAGGTCGGGGCTGCCCCTCCGCTCAGGGCTGCCCTGGGTGAGAGGACTCTCCCCCCCGCCTCGCTCCATCCGCCTCCACAGCCCCAGAGGAGCTCCAGCCAGAGAGAACGAGTCTGAGGAAAGTCACAGAGAAAGGTTTTTAATTTAGACATTTTTCAAAGTGATTTAAATTCCACTTTTAAGGTTTATTTCATGAGTAATCTCAAATTTAGTAAATATTTAAAGAATTACATTTTTTTATTTAGTCAACCCTAGATTATCGTGAAATATTGATATTGAGGTTTTTGGTTAAAAATATCAGATTCAGATTTATTCAAATAGGAATAGAGAAAATAGACGTGAAAATAAGACGTTATGTATATAGCGAGTTCTTCATCTGTGTTTGTATGGAGGCAGTGTGAGTATACAGGGTTCAATATGTACGAGTTCACACACACACACACACACACACACACACACACACACACACACACACACACACACACACACACACACACACACACACACACACACACACACACACACACACACACACACACACACACACACACACACACACACACACACACACACACACACACACACACACACACACACACACACGTCCCCTGATAGAGCAGTGGCAGCCAAACCTCTAATAAAGGGTAATGCATTAGCAACGCTGCCAGGCCGCGACAGAAGCGCTCGCCAACGTTCACACGGAGCCAAATGGACTTTCTTTTATTTACCGACGAGCCCCTGGACAATATGTGAGCATGTGTGACCCTCAGCGAGGAGGGAGTAGAGAGACAACTATGGAAATGAAGTGAGTGAGGAGTGGAAAACACAGAGGGTTTCTGCACAGAGTGGCAATGAGCTGAAATGCAGCAGAACAAATGAGGAGGAATGCATGCTTATTGTTTGAGGGTGGCATTTTCCACAGCGCTTGATTCAAAAACTCCCCCTCCCCCTCCCCCTCCTCCTCCCTCCATTTTTAATATTTCTGCAGATTTTTTACTGCTGCAGCTGTCGCAACTCTGAGCGAGAACATTCGTGCGATGTCCCGCCTCTTTCTCGCCTTTTCACTACCTTCTCTTTCTTGCAACAACAACAACAATAGACAGAAGAAGAAAACCTCAATCTGACAAGTATTAAAAGCCCGGGTAGCATTTCAAAATGTATAATAAATTAAAAACATGAGCTTTGGTTGCGATGAAAACAGTGTGGGAGGCGAAGAGGACGGAACATTTAAGTGGCAGATTTTATTTTAAAAAGTTCAAAGAGTGACACTGAGTGGAAAGCAATGGGAGTACAGTGAGGCTGTAATTCACAATGTGAGGCTCTGCAAATACATCTAACTGTTAACAATGAAGCTATAATAAAAAATTAACTAAATATACAACAGAGCTGAGAGAGGAATACATAGCTGCTGTTTACACTCTGCTTTTATTTATTTTCTTTCTAATTTCAACTGCGTAGGTCGTCAAAAGTCTGACATTTAATGTGAAAACAAAGCTCCTTAAAAGTACGTTGATGTTTTAATAAACGCCTCCATTGGACTCCTTTGTTCACTTCAGGGACATGGTGACGTCACTTTGTAAAACTCGCACTTCTAGCGCTCTGACACATTGTACGTGATAGGCTAAGGGGGCGGGACATCTCTAAGCGGTTGACCAATCACAACAGAGCCGGCCAGCTAACCGATCAGAGCAGACTGGACTCTGGTTTCAGACAGAGGGTGAAAAGAGGTGCTGCAGCACAGGCAGTATGAGAAAAATAAAGAGCTTTTTGAACATTAAAGCATGGAGACATGTCCCAGTAGAGACACTACATACTGATATACACCTGGACATCAGCAGGAGAGGACTCTTTAAAGTAGAGACACTACATACTGATATACACCTGGACATCAGCAGGAGAGGACTCTTTAAAGTAGAGACACTACATACTGATATACACCTGGACATCAGCAGGAGAGGACTCTTTAAAGTAGAGACACTACATACTGATATACACCTGAACATCAGCAAGAGAGGACTCTTTAAAGTAGAGACACTACATACTGATATACACCTGAACATCAGCAGGAGAGGACTCTTTAAAGTAGAGACACTACATACTGATATACACCTGAACATCAGCAGGAGAGCACTCTTTAAAGTAGAGACACTACATACTGATATACACCTGAACATCAGCAGGAGAGGACTCTTTAAAGTAGAGACACTACATACTGATATACACCTGAACATCAGCAGGAGAGCACTCTTTAAAGTAGAGACACTACATACTGATATACACCTGAACATCAGCAGGAGAGGACTCTTTAAAGTAGAGACACTACATACTGATATACACCTGAACATCAGCAGGAGAGCACTCTTTAAAGTAGAGACACTACATACTGATGTTCTCACTTATTGTGCTTATATTATGATATCGTCGTGGAAACGAGGTGGTACATCTGAGGAATTTGTTCCTAAATTCCTTGGAAGAGACCAACAAGTGAAACCAATTTAATGTTTAATGTTTTAAAATAATCCTCCTGAGAATCAGTTTTAATCAGCAGCGGGTCCTAACCTGCCGTATCTGCCCGCTGCTGACGATCCCTATCAAGACCTCGCCGACATCTCACCATCACACACACACACACACACACACACACACACACACACACACACCACACACACACACACACACACACACACACACACACACACACACACACACACACACACCCGGCATCATCTTATCTCTGCACACGTCCCGTTTCAATTCCGTTTCATTTGGTATTTGACAGAAGAGATAAAGGAGGAAATCGTGCTGTGCATTTTGTTTGACGTTTCTCTCGCTCTGATAAGACGTTTTATATATTTTATAAAACAAGTTTCACCACGTCCAGTGAACCCGAGGTCACGTACGATCACATTAAGTATCGCACGTTAATACCTCTTCATGTGGACACCCATAAGTGTATGCTTGAATAAAAACAGTTACATGACGACATGAAACATGTGAAATAAGAGGTTGTTTTTATATGGAAAAGTGAAAATTGTTCGCAAATCAAAGAGAGAAAGTCCCACTAGAGCAAACACAGGGATTTTAGCCTCTGCAGACCATTTACATGCACTAAAACCTATAGAACACACTACAGGAAAGGGAGAAAATGCCTCAATATGGACCCTGGAGTTTGGTCAAATTAGCTCAAAGTTAGTCTTACTTATATAAAAGGTAATTTATTGAATTTTTCTTTTCTGACTTTGTTCAACTTTAACACTCACATGTAAACACTGCATTGGGTGTTGTCATGCCAACAGAGACATCCTCCTCCACAGACTGATAAATGCTAATCTATTTTATGCAATTATTACAGGCGTGTTGAGCAATAGGTCTTTTGTTCTCCACAGTGTCTTTAACTGCGTGACGTTGTTCATTAAATCAGACACTGATATCTTCAAACGCTGTGATCGGCCACATCCTAAATCCATCTGTACTGCATTGTTTGATAAGGCGTGAGATAGTCAGAGTTGTTAATAAAGAGGCGATAAGACGCGTATCTGCTATGGAGACGACGGGAAACTAATGTAATGTGTTTCTGATAAGGACAGGGGTCATCACACAGATCCAGATTTATTGCTTCTCTGGGAAACAGTCACCTCTCAGAGGAACTCAGCAATGAATTATTAAGGAGAGAAGCTGCAGGAAAGTCATATTTGAAAGGGGTTTTTATTTTTGTAACATGTCATATTTGAGACTAATAGAAAAATACACATACAAGTTTTTATTTTTAAGAACATTTTCTATTTGTGTCTCAAGATTGCTTCTAAATTCACAGAAAGTTAGAGTTGGATAACGCCTCATTTGGTGTATATCAGTATGTAGTGTCTCTACTTTAAAGAGTCCTCTCCTGCTGATGTTCAGGTGTATATCAGTATGTAGTGTCTCTACTTTAAAGAGTCCTCTCCTGCTGATGTTCAGGTGTATATCAGTATGTAGTGTCTCTACTTTAAAGAGTTCTCTCCTGCTGATGTTCAGGTGTATATCAGTATGTTGTGTCTCTACTTTAAAGAGTCCTCTCCTGCTGATGTTCAGGTGTATATCAGTATGTAGTGTCTCTACTTTAAAGAGTCCTCTCCTGCTGATGTTCAGGTGTATATCAGTATGTAGTGTCTCTACTTAAAGAGTCCTCTCCTGCTGATGTTCAGGTGTATATCAGTATGTAGTGTCTCTACTTTAAAGAGTCCTCTCCTGCTGATGTTCAGGTGTATATCAGTATGTAGTGTCTCTACTTTAAAGAGTCTCTCCTGCTGATGTTCAGGTGTATATCAGTATGTTAGTGTCTCTACTTTAAGAGTCCTCTCCTGCTGATGTTCAGGTGTATATCAGTATGTAGTGTCTCTACTTTAAAGAGTCCTCTCCTGCTGATGTTCAGGGTGTATATCAGTATGTAGTGTCTCTACTTTAAAGAGTCCTCTCCTGCTGATGTTCAGGTGTATATCAGTATGTAGTGTCTCTACTTTAAAGAGTCCTCTCCTGCTGATGTTCAGAGGGGTGTATATCAGTATGTAGTGTCTCTACTTTAAAGAGTCCTCTCCTGCTGATGTTCAGGTGTATATCAGTATGTAGTGTCTCTACTTTAAAGAGTCCTCTCTCCTGCTGATGTTCAGGTGTATATCAGTATGTAGTGCTCTCTACTTTAAAGAGTCCTCTCTGCTGATGTTCAGGGTATTAATCAGTATTGTACTGTCTCTACTTTAAAGAGTCCTCTCCTGCTGATGTTCAGCGTGTACTATCAGTAGTAGTGCCTCTACTTTAAAGAGTCCTCTCCCTGCTGATGTTCAGGTTGTATATCAGTATGTAGTGCCTCTACTTTAAAGAGTCCTCTCCTGCTGATGTTCAGGTGTATATTAGTATGTAGTGCCTCTACTTTAAGAGTCCTCTCCTCTGAAATATATGCAATGATCTCATATTTATAACATAAAGCCTCTTTGCCTATTTAAACATGACGTAGTTAGAAAACATGTATATACAAAAAATGATTGTCTTATTGTAAATGATCAGATAGGGAACTTCATGGTGATATCTTTTAGTTAAAATGTTTACTCAGTTCCCCTGTATCATCAATAAAAGTGAA